CTTCCTCAATCAAAAAATAATAAAGCTTCTCTTTGGATGGTTACCAAAAAGCTTGCAATATGTCTTAATGGCATCACAATGTTGTGTTAGGCAGTGATGTAGCGCTATGCATTAGATTCCAAGAAGCTAGAGCTTTTTTTTCTTGTTAGCATCAAAACATTTAAAATGTGGACAACACTGTCCCACTAGAAAATGTAGCACTGTTGCACTGATAAGAATTAATAATTATAAATAAATTAATATTTCGGTACTCTAGCATATAGTGATAAGATGATGGATGACAATATTGTGGTGCTCAAGTTATTAGCAGTGCGGTGTTGCATGCTAAAACCATGGTTTACTTTCCACACATCATAAAATTCATGCAATTCAGCAAACACAAAGCAAAACTCACAAACATGCATCACACACTTGGGTTGACTCCTAATAAGCGCTTGGTTTATAGTCTTCAGCACATGACAATACGAAAACTTCATTTTAAGGTTAAGCCAACTTGAAGGTCATCCTTAGGAGTTTAATCACTCCTTCTAAATAAGGCTTCAATCTTTATCCATTTACTTTAAAGGTGTGATGTCCCAAAATTTAATTTGAAAGAATTATTCTTTTATCTATTAAGAAATAACCATAGCTATCTAATACCATCTATCAATATTAAACAATAAAATAAATTCTATAATTAAAAACATTATTGTACAAATCTCTATAATTTATTCCCAAAAATCATATACAATACTCATGATCTATATAATCATATATATATCCTGTCCTGATCAGTACATAAAAATAACTAAAACAAAAAGAACAAAATTTGAAGAATCTTGACCAGCCTCACACCCTTGTTCGTCTGTCCTGACCTGAAATCTTTTAACCACATATAATGAGCTTAAAAATTTTAGCATGTCACTAAAACCTAAAATTAAAATCAAAGCAGACAATGGAGCAATATGCATGTCAACAGTCAAATTATGGTAGTTACATTCATATAATCATTGAATTAGTGTAGAAATAATAAAATTTATATGCAATAGTAGTAGAATATATAAATAATAAAATACTATGGTACGAAAGCCAGTAAAGTAAAAAATTAGTATGAGTATCAAATTTATAAAGCAATCATTATATTTGTAATACTAATTAGTATATAAATCGAATAAAGTATTGAATCAAAATATTAGTAAAGACTGTTGAAATCAAATCAATATAGTAAAATCATATATGAATATACGCATGCTATCTAAGTATTATATATCACGTGTTTAGAATATAACATGTTTAGTATCATGATAGTGAATCAGTATTATCAAATAGTATCAGTTTCTAAACCAGTAACTATAACAAGCCTGTGGCAGTAGCAGTATAAATCTATGCCGTAATAATAAATCCATACAATAATAAAAACAATGCCTAAAGAACATATATTTTAATAATCACACTAAATAAGAAAAAAGTCTTAGCTATCACGGTATTTTTTAGTGTTAGTATCAATGTTAGTAAACTGTTGGCTCCGTAAATATAGTCATCACTCTTTGCTCGTTTGCATAGTAATAATCTCCTTATAACTCACAACCAGTGTATCATGTGAATTATTAGAGGATAATACCAACAACTTTATTTAAAGGAAAGCTTGTCGGCCACCATCATGTATAAGTCAATCAGTCTCCATCCAATTGGTCAACCAATCATTGTTTATTTCACACACGTATATTATTATCACAATACTATAACAGTGATAACAACCAACTATTACTCAAGCACATATCCACATCCATTTTTAATAAAAAATAATGCATAATTGAGCTTAATTAAGAAGATATCAAAATATCATAACGGTAGATAACAAAAAATTCTATTAGGCAAAATATACATTTTCAAAAAATTACCAAATTACCATGGATTATATAAAATGATGTTTTAAGAATTTTATTGTACTACACCACTATATTTAGAGGTCAAAATAAATTTTTTGTATAGATAAAAATCGATATAATTTTTTAAATTACTAGGTGAAAAATCTCAAATAAATATTCAAAATGTGCATAATCTGTATAAAATTCAAATAAATTATTATAGGACTTAAAAATTATAGAAAAATATCCATAAAATAAATCATTTTATTTAGAAAGATATCACTCACTATAATTAACAAGATAAGCATACCAAGTTAGAAAATGCTCAAGCTCACTTAATATAAATAAATACGCATCTAAAAAACTCATTAATTTTAGTTACATGAGCAAGGGGTAATTTTTCCAAATATATTCTAGATAAATGATCTGTTATTTGATTTTTTTTTTCCCTTCTTAATACGTAATTATTTGCATTATCCAATTTATCAATCTAGGTTTTTCATCTTTTTAGTTATAATGTACTTAATAGCAAAATAGTTAATATAAACAACGATTTTGTAGCTAATCAAGTAGGATTTGAATTTATTAAAGGCTAAAATAATTGCTAGTAATTCTTTCTCATTTGTTGTGTAAATAATTTGAGCTTCATTTAAGATTTTGCTATCATAATAAATAACATAAATTATCCTTTCTGTTCTTTATCCTAAGATTGTTCCAACAATAAAATCACTTGCATCACACAGAAGTTTGCAATAATTTTTAAGAAGGAAGTGATTAAATTTTATTTTAATAATTCAAAAGCTTATAAACACTCTTTAGTGAACTCAAAAGGAATATATTTCTCTAACAAACAACATAATAGCTTTATGATATTAAAGATTTTCTTTATGAATCTTCTATAAAAATATGCATGTTTTAAGAAGCTTCTAACAGCTATAACTAAATTGGGTGATCGCAAGTTTTCTATCACTTGGATTTTGGTTCTATCGAGCTCCTTCCCTCTCTCTGATATCTTATGACCTAAAACAATGCCTTTTGTCACCATGAACTTAAATTTATCCCAATTTAGCACTAAATTTATTTCTTCACATCTTTTTAAGATATGAGCCAATTGCTCTAAAAAATAATCAAAAGTAGTGCCAAAAATAGAGAAATCATCCATAAACATTTCAATGTCCTACTTAATAAAATTAAAAAATATAGCCATCACGCATCTTTGAAAAGTAATAGAGATATTATATAAAACAAAATACATTCTCCTAAAAGCAAAGATACCATAGGGACTTATAAGAATATGATAGTGTAAGAAATAATAATATGGGTGCTCTGCCAATCTATCTAACACCTAATCAATGAATAACAAGATAAAATAGCCATTTTCTAGTAACTTTATTCAATTTCTTATAGTCTATATAAATTCTCGATCAAGATACAGTTCTGGTGGAGATCTACTCATTTTTCTCATTAGTTATAATAATTAATCATCCTTTCTTGGTTACATAATAAATTGGGTTCACTCAAGCATTATAAAAAATAGGATAAATTATGTCTTCATATCCTTAACACCTTCATCAACGTACTTCTCCTCTTGTGATTCATCTAAATTAACAGATATGATTAAATACATTAAATGTTACCTCCTATCTTGTACTCTTATAATTAATTCTCTCTTTTGAACATCTATCTTGGCTCTACCAAAGGATAGGGAAGGTCTACCCATAATGATTGGAATCTTCTTATCCTCCTCTATATCTAACTTAATAAAATCTATAGGAAGAGAAACTTATCTACCTTAACCAAAATATTCTCTATCACACCATGGATAAGTTAAGATCAACCAATTAAAAGGTAATTATGATAGGTTGAACCACTCTTAGATCTAGTCTTTTGAACATTTATAAGGGCATGAGGTCAATGCTAGCTCCTAATTCATATAGTGCTTTGCAAAATCCCTCCCCAATAGCATAATGAATGGTAAAATTAGTAAGGTCCTTCAACTTTTGAGAATATTTTTTTATGAATAATTGCACCACATTCCTCAATCAATGCTATAGTTTCAAATCTCACAATTTTCTTTCCTGCTCATAATGTTCTTCATGAATTTAGTATAGCTAAGCATCCACTTATGATCTTCTATAAATGGCATATTAATAGCTAACTTCTTAAAATCCTCTATAATTCTTAAAAATGCTTATCCAAATTCCACTTTTAAAGTCTTTGGAGAAAAGGTAATGGTGGTCTCTCTACAACCTTCTTAATGGGTTTTTTATCTACTAAATCTTATATAGGTTGCCCTATGAGTTGGTTGGGTTCAAGTTCGGCTTCCGAGTTATCAACATGGTCTTTCTCTCTAACATTCTCTTTTAATTCCCTTGAACTCCTCAACTTAGTTTCTTTGCAGTGCTCCTTCCTCTTATCCTTAGGTTTCACCTCGATGTTTATAAATAATAATCCTTTGAGGACTATTATTTAAGGAACTATCCAGTTGCCTTAATCGATTTACAATATTTCTTATGGTTACTTATTGGCTCTATAATTAGGTCCCCATTTATAACATTAAATCCTTTAAGAAAAGCTTTTTGTCCTTATATTGATTATTAGAGTTAAACCCATTAGGAATATTAACTATAGGGTTTTAGGTTGTTGAGGATTCCAATTATCTACATGATTAGATTAGTTATAAGGCTTGTGATTATTCCCTATAGTTTGATTATTATTCTAGTTAAAATTTGGATGATTCTTCTTGTCTAGATTATATGCATTAGTGTAAGGACTACTCTTCCTATTATTGACCCCATTTAAAGATTCTACACTAGAATGGTAAGACTCACTTATTTCGTTGTGCATATTCTCATCTTCACTAATATGTGCTCTTCGGCTAGAACATGCACCTAAATTATTTAGCTTCCTAGAAAAATTAGCTACTTGTAAGGTTAAGATTGTTAAGATACCAGTGTCGTATAAAAGTGGCCACCTTAAGATGGATCCTATCAGAAGGCCATCAAAATTTATTATTTAAATTTTTTTCTATTAAAGCATAGGTCTCATAAAAATTTGTTGACATTAATAACCTTCATGTTACTATGTCTATGATAGACCTTAAAGAACATACAAGTTTATTATAAAAGGTTTGATTTATTAGTCAGTTGGGTAAAGCATGGTGTGGACACTTCCTTAATAATTCTTTAAATCTCTCCCAAGCTTCATATTTAGACTTGCTATCAAATTGGGTAAATGAAATAATTTCATTCCAAAGTTTTGTAGCCTTGGAAGGAGGAAAATATTTGGCTAAGAATTTTTTAGCTAACCATTCCAAGGAGTAATCAAAATTAGGATAAAGAGTTCAACATCAACTTAGCTTTGTTCATAAGAGAAATGGTAATAACCTCAATCTAATGACATCATCAGAGACTCCACTGTGGCACATATCTCTAAAAAACTAGTTATAAGTAGGTTTGGATCTTCTACATGGGATCTACCAAACTATGAATTTTGCACCATTTGAATGATTGCTGGTTTTAACTCAAACTTATTGGCTTGGATGATCAGTTCACTAATATTTTGGTATTCCATCAACTACTGAGTTTGAATAGTGCCAAGTGGTTTGGGTTGCTCATCTTCATTGAGTTGGTTTGCCATGATTTTTAAACATTTATAAGATTTTCTAAATTTTCTCAGAGTTTTCTCTGTTTTAAGTTCAAATTGTACTATAAAGGACTTTTCTCTAACAAGCATACAACTATTAACAAAATTAATAAGAAGCATTCCACAATGTAAATGAAATAATAAAAATAATAAGTAAACTTATAAATTGTAGTTTATAAGAAAATTTACATCAAATGGTTTGAAATAAAATACAAACACAATTAAAATTAAATCAGTGATCTTAAAATGAAGTATCAACTTGATAAGGATAATGGCGTCGATTCCACGACAATGGTGCCAACAACGATGCCAAAAACTTGACTGGTTAATATGGAATTACGCAAGTGCACATGCCATTCAAGTATGTAATAATGATAGTGTATCCTTCCCATGCAAAATTAGTTTACTATCCTTACAAGCTAATTACTCATTTTATCAATCACTTGATTTATCTTACAAAATAAATAAAATATTTGACGAAGGAGTAAAAAATATAATTAAATCGTGGTGCTTGAAAGATGTTTTAGATTTTTATAAGAATTCTAAATTTATGAAAGTAATGGTTATTATGTGCATGCAAAATAAGGCTACTTAATAATAATTGTGAATCAGAGCATGAATAGTTCTTCATTTCTATAAAGCTCATTAGAACCATAGTGAAAGTTATGATTAACTGTGCAAATCCCTAACTTCATCGTTTGCACAAGATCTCCTTATAGATCCTAAAAACATAAAAATTCATATGTCTATATTTTTCAGGATTCTATTCAAGCTTCCATAATTATTCCTCTATGCCTCTATCAAGAATATAAATCACAATAGATTTTAATCTTGAATATGGACATAACAAAATTAAATGAATAGTGGGGTAGCAGGAAATAGTTTTATAACATGAATTATTGTAGCCTTATCTACACTGCACACAATACCATTCTCACATAATAAATTTAGAAACAATAAATAAGTCACTAAGTTGCATGTTGAACAAAACAAACAATAAGATTTTCATTGTAATTCTAAATGGAAATTTTACAAGAGAAACAACAACATCAATCCTTTATCCCACTATCTGGGGTCGGCTACATGAATCCTTGTTCTCAATTTGTCATGCTAAGAGCCAAATTCCCATTTAAATATAAAAAAGAAAGGCCATTTCTAATATTATTCTTCTCTTGAAATGGCCAACACTCTACACCATAAAGCATTTCAGGTCTCACCACCATCTTATAGAATTTTCTCTTAAGTTTGAGGGGGACTTTTCTATCACACAACAAACCAAAATAAACTTTAAAGAAAAGCCTTGCTTTCCTTCATAAGTCCACTCCACAATTATCTTAAAATCAACAAACACACATATAATACTCCTTTATTGAAAAAAAAAAAAACTAGAGAAGGGAGTAGAGAAGAAGTTCTCCCAAACTCTCTCCATAAGTTTCTCCTAGAAACCCCCCTTAATAAAAGTTTCTTCACTTTAAATAAATTCCCCTATTTATACTACATGCAAAATAATAAACAAACTGAATAGTCTGGCCCACAACATTGTGACACTACTTTGCTAGTGTCGTGACACTCACAGGGAATTGTCACTTCTCTTCAATTATAACTAAAAATTGTCACCCCACCATGGCATTGAGGAGATTTGGCGCTGCTGCGTTCAGTGAACTATAACTTTGGCATTGAATATGGCACTCTGGAACTTAGAGATATGACATTATGGCACCAACCTCTCTATCATTAATGTATAAAAATTTCCTTCAGAGTGTTTTGGTGTTTGAAGACATGGCATTACGATGCTTGTATTTAACACTAAAGCTGGCTGATTAGCTATATGACATCATTTTTTTTTTTTTAGCTATATGACATCATCTTGTCTGCCTTTAGCCTTAAAAATTATCCTCTTAAGCATTGCAGCATTGTGGCACCGAGCTCTTTATTTTGACCCTGGATCTACAATGCTACTCATAATCTTCATTCATTTGACCTTCTCTTTGAGATTACCCTACAAAAAAACAATAGCTAAAGTACTTTTCATACAAAATTTCACATTTGAAACACATACATTTTCAAACCTAAAATTAGTAGGAGGTGTCTTGACATGCTATAGTTGTTGTCAAGAAAACAAATAGCTTGGTCAAAATTTTGGTCTATGAGAGACGACATCAAATGTCAGTTAACACTAGCCTAGATGATATCTATCATTTGAAGATGTCAAGTGATTATCAACAAGGAATATTAGCATTCATGTGATGTTGTTAGTGTGTTTAATCACTATCCTAATGTAATGTGAGATCAAGCAACTTGAAAAATGGGCTTCGTATATTTGTGTATAATATACATCAAATATTATTGGTCTTTGATAAGTATTATGTGAAGGTCAATGAAGAATGTCAAACATTAGGTGATGATCAACAATTTTCTTGACCATTCTTTAGATTATAGGGGAGGTTGGGTTGTAAGAAGCAAGGGCATTAGATGTTGATAATTAAAAATAATCATATGCTAGTTATTGGTAACTTCAATAATAGATTATTAGGAATGTCTGAGTTTAGGAGAAGATGGGAGAGACTAAATATTACTCGTGATATGAGCGAAGACAAAATGATTTATAAGAAAATTAATAGTTCATGGACATCAATGATCATGGGCATGCATTATGTGACCATTAAAGGGAATATTAAAATTCAAGTGATTATAGGGAATCAAATTAGTTGCTCTTATGATAGAAATGTTGACCAGATAATTAATAAGATGACACTTAGATGTCAATGGCTGATGGATTGGTCATAATAGGCGTCATGTGATGGTGAATGAGGACTATCAAACGTTATGCTATGATAGTGTTGGTGGAATTTTGAAAACAAGTTTTGAAAAATATTAGCTTTCTTTGGGAATCTTAAAATTGAAGATTAATTCTAATTCTAAAGTCGAATCAACTCGGTAGAAAAAGTATATTACCCCGAATGATGAAAATAAAATTTCATGACGGTGTTCAGACTTAGAATTATGAAATTCATCTTGAATATCATGACTGGATTCTAGAAAGAACTTCGTATAGCCCCGAGGGAACAAAGTGAAGTTAAACTCAATATCCAATTATAATATTCAAGAAGTACGATCGTCGGGTTCACATCCAAAGCCTTATCAAAGAAGGGTGTATCTCCCCAAAAGGAGATAACACCATTCAATAATAATCCTTCTAATATACTAAAGAAAATCATTTTTTAACTCTTTTCCAAAGAAATCTAATACGATTTTAGAAAAACAAATTTTAAAATGAGGTGAGTGTGTGGTTCCAAATCTCCTACGAGCGCAAGCCCTCATAATTAATTATATCGTAGAGAGACAGAGTCCCCTACGAAAACTCTCGATTAAAATAGTGACGAAATTTTGTAAGATCTTCTAGGAGTGATATAAAAAAATGAATGATGTTTGGAAAATCAAAAGGGAATGGATCAAGATTGAACAATTATTAACAGAGTTAAGAGAAGAGAAGTAGGGGACACATTGAGAGTCCAGAACCATCAGGAAATGTCCCAACTTAATCTAAGTGTTCGGCTTTACGTTTTAGGATTGAAATGAAGCTTTAATTAGAGTTAAGCATTTTATTAAAAATTTGGGATTATATTCCCGAAATTTGGGGTCTTATAATAAAAAAATATGCCCCAGATCTTAAATCTAATTTGGACACTAGACCACAGTCGTCCTAACTAATGCAGTGCAAGGTCTGGACTTACCCCG